CCCCAAAACCCCAAAACCCCAAAACCCCTTTTCAAATAAATAAAATTGATGAATTTTAATAAGATTATTGTTCTTTTCTTTTATGACGAGTTAATTATAGGTGAACACCTCTTTTCCTTCCATAATAATACTCAACCAAATGGCAAAAATGTTGCTACTGAGGCGCAATGGCTATTTTAGACACAGAAATACTGTTTATTCACTAGGGTCTCCAGCAAGAAGCTTCAGGCATCCTGGCAGATGCCAGGATACCTGAAATCTTTTTGGGTGACCGCTTTGAATTTGAAACAGTTTTAATAACACTAAAATCTAATTTTAAGCGCGTCAATGGGTAATAAGAATTTTTAGTAAGAAATTTAGATACTGATAGTTACATTCCGCTCAAATTCTCCAAATTTGTAGATAAGGAGGGCTCTGATCTGCTCCTGCAGGTCCTTCTTGAAGTCCGTATTTCTTTAAAAATATGAGAGTTGTAGGACTCAAAACGGAATTTCTCAGCTTGGTAGTTATGGTTTGGAGCGAAGAATCCGCTCGAGACTTTATGCATTGTTTCAGAGATCTCAGGATCTGAGTAATTATTCTCACTGGAGGTATAACCACTGTTTATTTTCAAATTTAGCTGTTGGATTGATATATCTTCCTTAACTTGTTTCAAGACTGATCTGTCGTGTTTGTATTCTAAATACAAATTCTCTAAATCAGCTGTTTTAGTGTTACAGAAATTTTCCAATTCGTTCCTGTAATCATCATACTCCTCAGGGTGGATTTGGGCATCAAAATTGAGCTTCTTCATAATTTTAACTTCAAGATCATTGAATTTCTCTAGTTGTATGTTCGCCCTAAAGGCATACACCCTGTTAGCTATTGGAGAGTCATTGAACAGCTTATCAGCAATTCAAATGCATCATAACACAACCCTATATAAAATGTAAGTACCATATGACTAGATTTTATATCGGGTATCTCGATCAACTAAATAAAAAAGTTGACTTCCGTTCGCCCTAATAATTCCCAAAAATTAATCAGGTTTTCCCAAAGTGGTATTTTTAAAGATGTAGATATACGGAATTTTCAAACTCTCAAACAGATTCAAACCAAAAGTCCCGCACAGTTTTTGCCAAATTTACATAATTAGAACATCATCCGATTACTCGGTAATGATTTAAAATTCGAAGTGGAACCTGCTCCACTTCAGACTGTTCCTAATTATAAATTTGTCAACTTTTGGTCGATGTGTTAACCCAAGATGTCACCATTGAGGTAATTGGAGGTGGTAAAGCAGGACTCTGAACAAAAGCCAGAGTTCGTGACCAAAATCTCCAGTTTTCCCACATAAATTATTATGGCCTTAATATAAAAAGATGAGGTCATAACTCTTTTCAAGTAAAAGATGACGTAAAATATAAATTTTTTAGATTCATTGATGCTGAAGCAGATATTATTAATTACGATCATTTCTCAGAAGAGCTATTAGCAGAGTTTTTATAAATACCTCCATTAATCACAAATTTGATCGAGAAAGAATGACAATATTGTTTTCAAAGGAGCACTCACCAATTTAAATTTTGTGAAGAAATTTCGTCATCTAGCTGTGTAAGTTTATCAAGATAAACTAGCGAGGAAATCATGCACTCCTTATAGTTCTTCAAATGTTTTCTCAACATGAGGAGGGAATTCATTAGTCTAATTCTGCGGATCTGGGCTTCAGAAAGTTGAGCAAATGAGTATGCCTGAATCCCTTCATAAACCTTCCTATCATTGGAGTCATGGTAGGTAGATGCCTTAGTCTCATCCATGCTGGTTCCTTCGACACTGTCTGCCGTATCTTCACTAGATTGTGAGACTGGGCCTAAAGATAAGGATTCAACAATCGTAGGAATGTAAAATGAATGGGAAATTGAAAGTTCCAATAAAGCAAAGCTAATCTCCTTTTCTGACTGTAGAATTCCAAAAAATCAAAGAAAGAGGCACCATGGGCTTACCATTCTGGATGGAATTAGTGTCTCCAAACATCTGAATGATCTTGTAAAGAGCGCATATGAACTTGGTACTTCTCTTGTTCATAGTGAATTTATGTCTGAAAATTAATAATTATATTAGAAATCTTGCTGAATAGGTTTTACATAGGAATGTAGATATTGGGGTTTTGGGGTTTTGGGGTTTTGGGGTTTTGGGG